AATAATAATAATAATAAGAAGAAGAAGAAGAAGAAGAAGAAGAAGAAGAAGAAGAAGAAGAAGAAGAAGAAGAAGAAGAAGAAGAAGAAGAAGAAGAAGAAGAAGAAGTCATTATCGGAAAATATTGAGCATTTGTCATAGCAGTAGAGTACAGCAGTTTGATGTAAATATTGGATCTTCTGAATAGAAGGTTAGCTTTTTCTCAAAATCCATTCAAGAATGGATAAGAAATGCAATCTAATCAAAAAACAAACAAACAAACAAATCTTAGGGCTGGTCTTTTTATATGTATGGATGTGCTCATAACCCTTATGGAGAAGACACACGGATTTCTGTTTTTAGGGCAAAAAACAAAACAAAACAAAAACAAAAACAAAAACAAAACAAAAACACTGTTCAGAATCCTACATGTGTTTATTTAAAGATTGTGCAGCTGCCAGTGACTACGTGTGACAAATTGCTGAGGTGTCAGGGTTCATTATAGTCACATGCCCAATTGTGCAGACAAGGTATGCCTTGGCACCCTGTCAATTAGCTGTAATTAGCAAGGGTAAGTTATGGAAACCTTACATGGATAGGATTCTGACAATATCTGGGACTAGAAATGGGAGGAAGTAGAGCATAAGATCAGCAATCAACAAAAAAATCATTGGGAAAGACGTAAAAAGAGAACTACCCAGATCTATCTGTGTTTTTGTCCCTCTGCTTATTTCCTCGTGGTAAAGCATGATACTTTTCACAAGTATTGACATTCAACTTTGTACAGCCATGTTGTGATTTTTTTTCCAGTTGGTGGTAGGATGGTTCAACTTATTTCTGGGTAAAGTCAAAGCTAGAAGAGGGTAGCTTACCTGTCTCTTATTACTGTAGACTTCCCATCTTATTAAGGAAAGGACTATTGGTACCACAACAGTGGTGCCCTGCTTGATGATTACCTCGCCAGCTGGTGGTAGGATGGCTCAACTTATTTCTGGGTAAAGTCAAAGCGAGAAGACGATAGCTTATCTGTCTCTTATTACTGTAGACTTCCCATGTTATTAAGGAAAGGACTATTGGTACCACTACTGCTGGCTACAGACGAGGAAATCGCTTGACAAGTAGTTTTTTGCGATCACTATTGCGATCGCTAAATGATGATTCTATGGGCTTTTTCCGGTTCATGATGATCGGTTCCCTGCTTCAGGAACCGATTTTTCACTTTACGACAATCAAAACAGCTGATTGTTGGATTTTCAAAATGGCCACCTGCTGTGTAAAATGGCTCCCCGCTGGGGATTCCTTGCATTACAGGCACAGGAAAATGGCCACCCTATGGAGATTCCTTGCATTGCAGGCACTGGAAAATGGCCACCCTATGGAGGTTCCTCGCTGGACACTGAGGTATTTCACCCATTGGAACGCATTAACTGGGTTTTAATGCATTCCAATGGGCTATTTTTATTTTGCTTGACGACAATTTCGCTGGAACGGATTATCCTCGTTAAGTGAGGCACCACTGTACTTACCTATTTGTCAACTTTACTTAAAACCCTCTGTCATTTTGGCTGTGTTTTGGCCTTGGTCAAAATACACCCTCCAACTTACCTTGTCACCTTTGCTTCCTGGTTCAATTTGTCAACTTTACTTAAAACCCTGTCATTTTGGTTGTGTTTTGGCCTTCGTCAAATGCACCCTCCAACTTACCTTGTCACCTTTGCTTCCCGGTTCACCTGGTTTCCCTGGAGAACCCTGCAAGGAGATAAGAGATGTGAAATGAGCAGCAGCAGTAGCCAATGAATGACTGTTAGTGTGGTGATAGCTGGTTCCCTCTTTCACCTCCATGGGAAAAGTTAATAACAATTCACCATGTGCTATCAAGTTGATTCTGACTTATGGTGAGCCTTCCCATATTTTTTTAGATATAAAGTGCTTAGAAATGGTTTACCAGGCTCTCTTTTTAATGGCATTCTGGGACCCCACAGCTGGTTTAAAGATGCACAAGCTGACTGTCCTCCCAGGAGGCATAGTGTGGAATTAAATTCCCAATCCTTCATGTCCATCCCACTGAGCTATTGAGCCAGCTTTGTAGAATATGGCACAAATACAGAATATTTGCAAAATATGGCACGAATACAGAATATTGGCCAGCTTTGTAGAATATGGCACAAATACAGAATATTTGTAAAATATGGGACGAATACAGAATATTGGCAAAATATGGCACATTTAGACAGCATGTACCTATTAAAGCAAGCTCCCAATATAACTTCTGATTCCCCTTACACAGCATACCCTGGTTTTTGATATAAAGGTATGCCAGACTGTGTACTTCTGCATGCAACCACAAACATTTTTGAGGTCAGTCAGTGGGGGTGATGTCCAATTTGTGTTAGATCACACGAGGTTGTATGCACCGTGAAACCACAAAAGGAACCCTGTAATCAGCTAGTATCAGCTGCTACCAGTGATATCTTTCCCATCATGCAGGCAGACTCCACCCAATAGGATTATGGCTGGCATGGTTAAAATGCACAAGCAGTCAACAACAGAAATGGACACAAACCACATAGAGATGGAGCAGTGTCCCACCCCCTCCAGCAGGCACCCCCTCAGAAACAGCACCTGGAGGAGGTGGGCTGGGGCATTGCTGGCAAGTGGGTGCCCACCAGAGGTGGCAGGGCAACAAACTGCAGATCAGCTGTTCAGCTGGAAAATGAACCATGCCAAACGGGCGGTTCGTGCCCATCTCTAGTTACCAACTTTGTTATGCAGCTGTAGAATTTAATAAGGGCAGATAACAATTGTGTGTATTTGTCTCTTGTGTTCATTTACTTGTTTTTAACAACAAAGAGCTTTAGAAGTGTCAGCTCTTTTGCTTGTCTAAAGGGTATTAAGGAATCAGCAATTTTAACTATCAAGATACCATACCTCTTTTCCTGGGAGCCCCTTTTCACCCGGTTCCCCCTACGGAAAAGAAAGCAGAAATACATTATAGTCACGCGACCAGAAACAGACTTACAAACTTAGCAACATTTCTGTTGGGCTTTTATTTTATTACTTCATGAAGCTCCCACCAGTCTTTCAAAGCCATAACTGTAAATAAGATTCTATTTGAGCGGTCTGGAATGTTACATGCATTGACTTGCTACTCACAGGAGGTCCCCGTGGCCCAATGAATCCAGGAAGTCCTACGTTACCAGTTTCACCCTTGCTTCCTTTTGGACCCTTGAAAGACAAAAAGTAAACAAAGGCTCGGGTAGATGTTGATCAATGTAATTAGAAATGCCCACTTGACTAATGAAGCTGACAATCAAGTCAATCAGAGTGCCAATGGGCAAGATTTTTTCCCCTGCTTCCATACCACTTAAGGATGTGAAGATATATTGTCATGGTGAGATTTTAGTCTCAACACAACAAGTAGCACTCTGAGGATTTTCCACCTTTTTCAAGAGACTCTGTCTGTAGTGGTAGGTCAATACATAGTTTTCCCCCTATTGTGGCTGTTGCCACTTGAACAAAGTACCATATTTTTCTGTGTATAAGACGCCCCCCATGTATAAGAAGCCCTGACTTTTCTAATCCAAAATTAAGAAATCTAAGTGGGGTTTAGCAAGTGTAGGGGGAAAGGGATCAAAGCACTTCAGGATCGATTTGATCCCTGCTTTCCCCTCCAGTTGTTTTTGTTCTCTCCTCAGCTTACTTCCGTATATAAGATGACCCTCAATTTTTAGTCTAAAGATTTTAGACAAAAGTATGGTCTTATACATGGAAAAATATGGTACACTGCACACAAAGTCCTGTCTCGGTGTCAAACTATTGTCTTTTTCAGTCGGCACACCTTCAGCATTGGCAAAATAGACTGGACTGATGGAATACCAAGACACAAACAACCCATCCAGTGCTATTACTTTGTGGAAAGGTGACACATTGCATTTTATCAGCACTGCACATCTTTTAGGGAGGAAAAGTGACATGGCACACATTCTCTCCAAAACCACCAACAACAAAAGGCCACAGTGTCACAGTGGTTTATGTGGAGGATAAAAAAATGTTTAAGTTGTTTCATTCACTGCACAGGGACAAATCAAATCAGGACTTCCTTCCTGTGCCAGTTCTCCTGAAGGCAAACTATTAAAAACAAAGAAGGAGAGAAGAAGCTGACAACATTCTTAAGATGATCCCAACAGCTGCCCAGCATATCAGGAACCCATAAATTATCTGTACTAGAACAAATTTTTTCAGGGTTTCATATAAAATGGCTTCAAGGGGAGAAAACCCCAGAACCCACAGATACTCCTTTACCTTAGAATCTAAGTTCCCAGTTGCCCTTCCCTCCCAGCTCCTGTGCTCCCAGTGCTACCTCTGAAGAGGTCCTCCTAAACTGTCCTTTAGATATACCTGCATCACTGTGGAAGCCCTTCTCAAGGCAACCTTGTGTATCTTCAGCAATGTTGAGTTGCTAGCCTAGAAAAATTGCATTTAGAGTTTCCAGGTCTCAGACCATCCCTGCCCATGGCAAGGTGTGGCAGATATCTCACTGTGCCTTTAGAAGGTGAGAATGTGTATAATCCAGTGGGAGAGCACCTGGCTAGTGTGAAGAAGGTCTTGGGTTCTCCAGCTTCCCCACCTGAGTCTGGGAAGGACCCATGTCTGAAGGCCTAAAGAGTTGCGGTCAATGGAACAATACTTAGCTAGATGTCTTTATGTCTGAATAAAGCAGCTTTCTACAGGGTTGCTTTTCTGCAAAGTACCACAGTCAGTGCTGCCCAAATTACTGGATCATTCGGATGTATCCTTATTAACAAATAGTTGGCTTTTACATATCTGCAGGTGTGCATAGGGCTATTGAAGAGAGGGTGACAAGCAGAATGAAGTGCCAGCCCGGTTTTGTTTTGCTTTTTCTACCTAGCTGTGATAATTGGCTATATCTAGAAAAGAGGAAAACAACAGGGATTGAAAACAGAGGTACATCAAGTGGCAGGGATAATCAGGCTTAGCTAATCTTCTGCTGATCCTTAAAAGATGAGCTAGTATCCTCTTTCTACTCACAACCGGAGGAGACCCTTTGAACCCATTGTTGAATGGTAGCCAAAACAAGCAAGTCTCATTGAGTCAAAGGCTCCACTCCAGTAGGGTCAAGCAACAGGAGACTGGCCACTGGTACAAGATACAATGATACTGGTAAGATCTTCCTGCAGGTCTTTGTAAGCCTGTCCTTTTTATTAAAAAAAAATCTCAGCAAGGACAGACAGATTTCAATAGGAGTGTATCAGATTCCATCACCTTGATTTGACCTGTCGTGTGTCGGAAGAAAGTTCTGTTTCAGTTTTGCTAATCCTTGTTGTCCCACTTTTCTGATGGATACCTGCCAGGACCATTCTGGGTTGCTTTCGATCAACCTCAAAGGCTCATCAACTTGTCTCCTTCTCCCTTACTAGGTTGGGCTAAATTAAATACATCTCTAGGATGAGACACACCATTCATGACCATGTATACGGTAATACATTGTGGCTTGTAACTCATAGTTACTCATCCTGTACATGTGGTTCATTTCCATGTCATCAGCTACCAATGGGGTACTCACTGGGCTACCCGGAGGTCCAGCTTCCCCAGCAGGTCCTGGTGGTCCACTCTTGCCCTAAAGAGGGTGAAAGAACATGAATCAAACTACAATCACAAGAAGAGTCCCACTGGATCAGCCTTGAGTCCAAAACTCATCACTGAAAACCTTTTCACCTTCATCCATCCTAGGGATGCTTTCTCCCAAACTGAAATGATTGTTTCTTCTGCTGCAGTTCAAAAGCTCCAATGCAACTTTTAAAAGGAGTGGATATTAGTTTAATTGGAGGTCATCCACATATCCACCCAGTAACCCAATGTGCTCTGAATCATGTCACTGGTCTCTTCAAAACCCAGTTTGCTTCTCTTGAAATTTGTATTCCTCCCCCCAATCAGACATGCTTAAGTGGCTTTCTATGGGTTGTATTTTTATCAGCTCTGCTTATGGTATAAAATTCCAGCCATAGCAATGCTGCTAAGTGGCAGGTGAGAAACCACATTATGACTGTACCTCATTAGTAATATTGTTCCAGGAAGAAAATAAGCTCCCTGGGCAGGTTCCCCTAAAGAGGCTCATGTAACTCTGGAGAGGGAGAGCTTTAATGGTTATGCGGGATTAAACGCCTCTCTACCATCCACTCCAGGCATGCACAATTAAGTTGACTGGTGGCATCTACCGTAAGCTCACCAGACTGTGCATTACTGCCAGAAGCAAGGGCCCTTTAACTCTGTCAAGGCATCATATGGTTTATCCTATATGGAGGACTTTTTCCTCCATGATCCCATCCACTGAAAATAAAGGGGGATGGCATCTGCCAAGGGATCTTTAATATATGGCTTATATAACTTGCATGGGTTTGCAGTTCAAAGGTGTTCTGCACAGCCGCATGTGGGCACTACATTCAGTTCCCTCAACAAGGGAAGGCAGAATGTGTCACTTTTGCTTTTGGCACTCTGACTCTTGGTAAATCCTGCTTTTTGAGAGTCCCCTGGACTGCAAGGACGACAAACCTATCCATTCTGAAGGAAATCACCCCCGAGTGCTCATTAGAAGGACAGATCTTGAAGCGGAGGCTCCAATACTTTGGCCATCTCATGAGAAGGGAAGACTGCCTGGAAAAGACCTTGATGTTGGGAAAGCATGAAGGCAAGAGGAGAAGGGGACAACAGAGGAGGAGATGGTTGGACAGTGTCACCGAAGTGAGCGCAACATGAATTTGACCCAACTCTGGGAGAGGCAGTGGAAGACAGGAGGGCCTGCCATGCTCTGGTCCATGGAGTCACAAAGAGTCAGACATGACTTAACAACCAAACAACAAAATCCTGCTTTAAAGGGGGGACAAAATCCTCACCTATCTGGGCAACATGGAGTAAACTGCTACCTGTTTTTCTCATGCTCAGATTTCCTAAATTCGGTGAATTCTGATCAAAGAACGGGACAAAATTAAAAAAAAAACTGAGGTGAAATTTAACCCAACTAAGGCATTTATTTTCCCATTCAGCTATTTCCTATGCTGAATGTCAAGTCTTTCCATCTCTTCTCCAGTTCTCTATATCATGTAAGTATCACAACTAGGATTTAATATTGACCCGTTACCCACAATTCATTGGGAGAAACAACTCACTGCCACTCCTCTGAGTCCTTGTGGGCCGCGAGGGCCTGCAGGGCCCGGATCCCCCTGAAACACAACAGAAAGAGTTGTACTTGATGCGTTAGCTGAAGAGAAAGATGATGAACTTCTTATAACCTCTTGAGATGGACCCATGAGGCAGTGTTGCCAGTCCCACCATGCCCAGTACTTTACTAATCAATACGGACTTGGGATTTGTCATCATTTTTTTCCTTTGTTTCTGGAGAACTTGGCTAAACGATCTAATTTAAAAGATGAAACTGTGTCTCAAACATCCAGTACATGGTAGATCTGCCAGTGTAGATGTATTAAAAACAACCGTGGGCGTAAAATCAGCCACGAGAGCTGAATGTGACTGCAACAGAGGATGTGGATTATTTCCTGGATCATCATTTCCCTTTGATGTCACCCTTCTGTGGATGAAAAATAAGCAAGGCATTGCAACTTCCCCCTCTCGTAGAGATACAGAAGCTGCAGTTTGTCCTTGCTTCCCCCCCCCCACAAAGAATCAGCAGAAGAGAGAAGGAAAGTTCAGAAACATTTGCAATTTTTGGACTCTGGGAGTTGTAGGTCAAAATCCCCCAGATATTTTCAACACTCAAAAGAGAAGAAAAGGGGGGGGGAAGCTAATATATATCTGAGATGACCCCCGACTTGAAGACGATGAATTCCATGAAATTTAGTGAGATGTCAAGCCAGTGACATATACTTCTGCTGGATAGCTCAGTGGTTTAAGGACCTGGCTGTGCAGCCAAAGGTTGGGTGTTCGATTCCCCATTGCACCTCCTTGACAGGGGCTGGACCCAATGATCCACTGGGTCCCTTCCAGCTCTGAATTTCCAAGGTGATTATGGTGACTATGTCATAGTTATCACATTGATTATTTTTCTACCATGGCAGAGGCATTCTAAATGGAACCTCTGACTCCCCCTCTAATGAGTGAACGTGCTTAGTGTACATATAAATTAATGCATGCCTATTTAAAACACTTGGAAGCGAGAGCTCATTTATTTATTTACTTATTTATGGAGATGGGGACGGATATAAAAACAGATCAGCTTTTTTGATGCAAATAGCCAAATCGTTAAATATTCATTAATTCGTATTCATCAAATCTTAAGTCATGATGAATGCAGATCAATGAATATTTTGCCATTTATATTCGTCCTTAATAAAATAAATAATAAAAAGCCCACTCCATTCTGTCTACCAGCCACTAATCAGCTAATCGGCAGGCCGATAGGTAGCCACCCACCCCCACAGCCACCCATTGCCACAGCCTACCCTCACCCCCTTCCTCTACCTACCTTAGCCACCCACCCCTGCTGACACCCCCTTACCATAATCATTGCCACAGCTGCCAAGATCTCCATCAGGCCTCCACAGCTGTAGAAAGGGAAACTGGCTGCCATTTGCAAAGATGGCAGCTGTGGCTTCATTTAGGGTAGTGAAGCTGCAGCCACCATCTTTACAAATGCAAAGGGCAGCCTGGATTTCCTTAAGGCAGGCTAAGTGGGGTGGGGGGCATGGCGATGGCAGGGGGACAGGGGGTGGTGATTTTTTTTTAAATAACTCCCCATGAATCGACAAATAACTTTGTTATTTATCACTTCATGGTGGCAACTTTGTGCTTTATGAGTTGTTAAAGTGGTGAGTCATCCCCATCTCTACTTATTTATATTGCTTAGGCAAAACTCATTTTATTTTATTTTTTTCTAATTTAAAATTTGAAGTTTGGGGTCCTAATACCAGAAATTCTTTAGGTTTTTATGGAGGTGACATAACCTTTTTTCTTCCCCTAGACCTGACAATATTGTTTCTGTGTGAAATAACCGTGAGAGCTTTCTGTGAGACCAAAACATCACACTTACATCTTTTCCAGGTTGTCCTTCCCGGCCCGGGGTTCCTGGTTGACCAGCCTCTCCCTGTAACCGTGGTAAAGGGTGGAAAATAATATTTCAGAGCAGTGCAAAATCTCCAGATTCGTGACTCCTAATGGTCCATTCCTGCGACTTGAAGTCCTAGGCCTTGGGAAGCTAATGGTGATGTCAGTGAAAAAAACATATCTGTAATCCTAACAAGAATGTGTAAGTGATAAGAAGGAACCAGGATGCCCCCACCCCACAAGAATATGGCATAGAAACACATCTTAAGGAGAATGCTCAAATGCCTGTAGGCCATATGCCCAAGAAAGCATAAAGAACAATGGTGATGCACCCTGAACAAGGGAGGTCCAGGGTGCACCACTGAGAGCAGAGGCCATTCTTCTGCACTGGATGCTATGTGCCAAGACATGACTCTCATATCCCCTCTCTCCTAGTAAAAAACTGAGCCTGGTGGCAGGGAGAACTCTCCTAAGATTTATTTCTAAGGTCTTGGGTGTTTTGTAGTCATTCTCTTCTTGATGAAACTCTGATCTGTGTCTAATTGCTATAATTCCTGCACCAAATGACATTGTTAATGAAAACAAATAGGTTTGCATAAAGGAACATGTGGGAAGCAAAAACAAAGCAAGAGAGAAAGAAGAACAGGTTCTTGTTTTTGAGTGAAGCCAAAAACATCTTGGTGGCATAAGGAGAGACGTCTTGGACAGAAGTTTTCAGAAAACAGCAGAGAAACAAGATTGTTTACATCTATCCTTCACATACCCTGCCTATGAGCATTACTTACTCTTGAGCCTGGGGGTCCTGCATCTCCTCTGGGTCCTTTAAAGCCCTGCAAAATGAATGGAAATGTCTGACTTTCTTCCAAATACGCAGAACAGAAGCAGAAACAAATATTTTGTTCAATTTCTTCCCAGCTTTGGCTTAGGCGCAATTCAGCACAAGCTTTGTTCTGGAAAAGCTCATGCTGGTCCCCTCTCCATATCTGTCCTGCCCCCTACCATATTGATTGTGTTGTCTTTTTAACGTATGCAGGAGGAGCAGGACTAGGGATGGAAAAGACAATTGTTCGAATTGTCAGTGGTGATGGAAGTGGCATTTTTGCATCTCATGAGATTCGCTGCAAGAAGTGGGGGGAAATGCACCTTGTGAATGTGTACCTTTGAGAATGTGTATATTTGCAAGGTCAAGGGGATTTGCTTTTTGTTTTGGCAGAAATGACATGTGCACATGTATGGCTGACTAGACTAGGTAAAGGCTCCCCTTGACATTGAGTGCAGTTGTGTCTGACTCTAGGGCGCGGTGCTCATCCCCGTCTCCAAGCCATGGAGCCAGCGTTTTGTCTGTAGACAGTTTCCGTGGTCATGTGGCCAGCGTGACTGGACATGGAAGGCCATTACCTTCCCACTGAGATGGTACCTATTTATCTACTTGCATTTGCATGCTTTCGAACTGCTAGGTTGGCGAGGAGCTGGGACAAGCGACGGGAGCTCACTCCGTCGTGTGGATTCGCTCTTACGACGGCTGGTCTTCTGACCTTGCAGCACAGAGACTTCTGCGGTTTAACCCACAGTGCTACCACGTTCCTAGTGACTAGACTACACATAACTAAAAAAATGCACAACTCCTTTAGTCAATGGAGAAAATGAATCCACGAGGCAACTTATATAACAAAAGATACATATTCGGGATCAGAAAGCAAAGTCTTGCAGCGAGATATGAAGCAAGGAGAAAGCTGAAGATGGGCTTCTCAGCAATGGAAGAAAATCAAGACTTCCAAATCTGAGTCTCTGTCTTTTCTAATTGGATGTGAGTCATTTTGGGAGACCAAATCCTAATCTGAGTCTCTGTCTCTTCTAATTGGATGTGAGTCATTTTGGGAGTCAATATTTGTCTGGAAAGCAAGAAAAGAAAAAAAATCCCTTCGAGGCATGATTTTTCCCTTCCTACCACAACCTTCAAATCTCCTGCTGTTTAGATCATGTTTGGCTTCTTTAATAGAATTTGGTCTTTCGTGAACACGTTACAAAATGTCTTACGTTTTGCAACCAGTATATGGCACTTTTGTGTTAGACAAGGCAGGAAATGTTAAAAGTGACCTCAGCAAAGGGATGACCATGTTTTTAACGAACCACGACAGCCAGCAACAGCACCTACCGGCAATCCGCGAGCTCCCTCCGGTCCGGGTAGACCAGGTTCTCCTGGTTTGCCCTGAAAGAAACAAAACCCATTGATGCCTAATCTCACCTTCACTCAGGGCCAAATTCTACACCATACCATTGATGAACAGATGAAATAAGGAATGCAGGAAGGGGTTTGTGAAAGCTATCTAAAACATACATGGGACTTGATATGCATTGAGAGTTTTTTGGCTGCCACTTGAGTCCAAATCAGAGTCATCCCCTCTGCATAGGAGGAGTAAAATTGAGTGATACATTATATCTAGGTCCACAGTTCCAAACCACCAAGGTTTTTTTGGTTAATAATTTAGATGAATAATTTAATATATTCAACAACATTTCCAAGTTCAGCATTTCAAAAAATTTCAAAGAGGTTTCTGGGTAACAAAAACAAACATCTGGAAAGATCATTCGTAGGCTACAGGGACACGTGGAAAATCTCCAAAAATCTATTGTTGATAGGGGCCCTGACACAGCCTCAAACAGGTCTGGATAAAATACAGCTACATAGGCTGGCAGTTGGACGGTAGAACTGGAAATGGACCAGAACGGAACAATCAACAGTCATGAAATTTGACTGCTCTATAACAGCGATTGTGTAGCTACGATTTCAGCTAAAATAGCCTTTCTAATAGTACATCCAGTTTTCAAGTCACAAAATAAATTTTGCAGCACCAGACAGACCGTACGTAGACAATCATCAAAGGTTCAACTGAAAAAGACAGTGTTTTTCCTCCTTCTAATTTAGCACAAGTGTTTATCCCATTGATTGTTCTAGTCTGAGGTCTGGCTGTCGATGATCTTTCCTACTGAGAGATCATTTCCTACTGATAGGTGGGGTTTTTTTCATTAAAATACGACAAAATAGTGTCCTATTTCTCTCACAAAGACAAATGCACTCTGTGATTGCTTTGTAGGAAACAGGAAAATAGGAACGTTCCTCACCGAGCAGCAGGAAGTAAGCAGAAATTGTACTACGTCTAGAGATGGGCATGCACAGTCTGTGCCAGTTCATTTATTGGCTCAACTGGTTTTGGCATTTCCCAGGCCTGCTTCCTCCAGTGGGGGCCCACTTAGAGACAGTGCCTTGAGGAGTGGGGCAGGGAAGCCAGGGAGGTTCCTCTGGTAAGGATGAACCATCATGAACTGCCAAACCAGCGCTTTGCACCTATCTCTAATACATCAAATGTTTCAGACAATAGACACTCCTATGGAACCTGAACAGGAAAATGGAACATTTAGGGTTCAGGCAATTATTTGTATGTAACACGTATCTCCTTACTGGTTCTCCGGGAGGTCCTGGCTTGCCGTCTTTACCATCTTTTCCAGCAACGCCCTAGGATTGAAACACAGTTTAGGAGTTGAGATTAGAGATTCGGTGTGTGTCTGTTAACTTTCATTTTTTAGGAGCAAATGTTGTACGTTCAAAGTTGGTGGCACAGAATCTCAGATGCAAAAATATTCTGTCACACAGATATGAACTGGAGGAAAGGAAATATTGACTTGTTTCACAAGTTGCTTGGGAATTAAACGGGCCACACGTCACGATAAGGGATTCACCATATCGCAGCGATGTGCGCTATCTGGACTAGAAACTCCATCGGGAAACATCCAGGGCGGCGTCAATAGAAGGTTGAGCATTCTACGTTAGTTCAGCTGGGATATGGAATGATGGGTGAACTGACAAGGCAAGACGTCTTACTATCACCAATATCTACCAATGTTGGCAGATGATAATCCCAAACACATGATGAATGTACTGCAAGAGTCACTAAAAAGTAAAGCTGAGCCAAACTATTCAGCATCTAATAGTTGTTGTGGGTTTTTTGGGCTCTTTGGCTGTGTTCTGAAGGTTGTTCTTCCTTCCAAAGCCAACTACACCAGAGCACAGAGTGCTGTCCTCTGAAGATGCTGGCCACAGAGACTGGCGAAACAATAGGAAGAACAACCTTCAGAACATGGCCAAAGAGCCCGAAAAACCCACAACAACCATTAGATCCCAGCCATGAAAGCTTTCATGAATATATTCAGCATCTCCTCCCTACTTCAGTATGTTAGTTTTGCAGTAGTGAGGGTGATTGACTAGGCAAGAAGTGTCCGTCATCTGGATCATGTCTTTCCCTGGGGAAATAGAACTATGTCAACATATGGTGACATGGCATCGTACCATGCAATTGACTGAGAGTACGAATGGCCAGACAAGCCTCCATGCAATTGCCAAAATCCTATCATTTAATGTAGTAATTCACATTACTACAGTAATGTGAATTACTACATTACATGAGTAAGCCCACTGAATCAATAAGGATTTAGTGAGTCATCTCTTCTTTAATATCCATGGATTCAAATGGGTATTCTCTAACAGTGTCTTGCAATGAGAAGATAAATCACAGTAAGAGTAGGCCCACTTAAATCAAGAGAACATATGGCGCCAAAGATGGGCACAAATTACCGGTTCAACAGTTCCTGTTGTTTTTTCTTGACCAAACAGATGTCCTCCAGTGGGTGTCCACTCAGAGGCAGTCCGGAGGAGGTGGAACAGGGAAGCTGGGTTGCAGCCTCTGAGGAGACTCCCAATTGAGGAGCTCATGCTGGGAAGCCCTGAACACCTATTTAGCTGAGAAACGAACAGGCACTAACTGGTTCACCAGCAGTCCTTACCTATCTCTATTTGACTCACCAAATCCCCAATGATTGAACCAGCCTCCTCTAGTGTGATTTACAACATTAAATATGCTGTGATTTTGGGATCACAGCACATTGCGGATTCCAGTCTTATCTGGAATGCAACATGGCAAATACTTGTAATCCAGAAGATAGCTAATATCCATTTCAGGCTTCTGCAGTTTTTTGCAAAAATTACAGACAACTTGAAGAGAGGGAGAACTCTTTCTTTTTGTTGATGGCTAGACATGTAGAGTCTGGTGGAGCTTTAAAATTCTTCATTGATATGTCTCATTATGCTGGGACAATCTAAAGTGATGAGCAGGATTTGATTAACATTTCTTTCCATTCCTCG